CTGATTGTGGAATATGACAGATATTGGTAAACCCCTTAGCTCTGGGATCTACAAATTGGGTGATGCGCAGTAAGTTACATAAACACTCTCTGCCTTCATTCCTCCATAAACAAACTGGCCTTCATAGTATCTATCCCCCTGCAGAGAGCACAAGAATTAAGTGAAATAAGATACAGTGATACAGCGTAAATAAGATACAGCGTGCAGTATAAGGCATATCACGAGAATGTAACAAATGGTTACAATCGTGACAGTAAAAGTGATGATGCTGATATTGGTGCCAATGATTAATAATGTTTAACACTAATATTTTAAAAGACTTGAGAAGCTGCTGGGATAAACTACTGCTTTCTAATACATTTGAGATTAAATTATATCCTACAAAAAGTAGTTGGGCTTGCGACTTAATACCATAACTCAGTAATATTCTATATACACTGTATACAATAAATGTGTTTTGTTTTCCAGTTGATAAAATAATTTCATTTAAGGGTGCCTTATTTCTAGCTGATATTGTGGTGCATGCCAGTAATCCCAGGTATATGGGAGACTAAAGCAGAATAACTAGTTCAAGGCTGTCCTGAGCAACCTAGTGGGTCCCTGTCTCAAAAAAGGGGGGCTAAGGTTGCAACAGTGGTAGAGCATTTGCCTAGCACGTATAAGGTGAACAGAGAGTATAAATATTGTACAAGCAGTTACTACATTCTTTTTTATTAAGGTCATAATTTCTGTAAAGTATATGGCATTGATTACTTGGAAAGGAAAGTTTGTAACAAGTCAGATTGACATTGGCCTTTCTAGAAGATAAATCAAGGCAACTCATTCCCAGAACTCCGAGCCATAGGGACAATATCACTCTTTGTTGTAGGGAGCTGTCTGGGCATTGTTAGGTGTCTAACACTCCTCTCCCCAACAGATGACTGTAAGAACCCACACCTCATTCCAGTTGTAAAAACCTAAATTACATCCAGGCATTACCAAATGTCCTCTGAGGGACAAAATCCATTCCTTCAGCTTGGGTTGAGAACCACTGAATAGGGAAATACATTCCGTTACATTTTATTGAGAGTATATTGTATGTACTGGGAGAGAGCATGCACCAGTCCTGTCCTTTAGCCCAAGGAAATTAGCGTGCCAGTGTATAAAGATGTGTAGAATGTGATCTTGAGTCATCTCTGCCTTCCATCAAACTGTCTGGAAGAGGTGGGGTTCTCTAGCCTCAAGTCTACTCCTGCAAGCTTTCATCAACTCCAACTCCCTCCTGAGAATACATACCCCATACTCTCCAGGGCTCTGTGTTAATGGAAGTCATCCAGGGAGCTTCTGTGTATTTGCTATAGAGAGACCTTTAAAGCAATGGCCCCAATCAACTCAAAGGTTCCTTGAAATCACCCTCAAGAGTCCTTTATACCCACAGCTCGTAATCAGGGCCTAGAACAATGGCTTTGCCAGGTAGAAAACAAATGAACAAAACCTTGATGCAGTTCAGAGCCATTGCAGAACTCATCTTTCTCCTAACAAAGTGAGGAGAAGGGGGAAAAAGAGCATCCCTAATCAAAAGAAATGTGACTTCACTAGAGAGTTAAAAATCTCAGCCCGAAACCACATCCTTCGTCCTTTGTAGAAAGTGAATAGAGCTTACATAATTGGGTCAAAGCAGGAAACATGTCAAAATTGAGGACAAAAAAAATTCCAGCAAACCACAGTGAAGGCATTTGGAGAAGCTTTTTGCTTTTGTTTTTAAGTTTAGTTCTATACAAATCAATAAATCAGTCTTCCGTCTTCTGGCAGAGGGAAAGGTTGTGAAATCATGATAACCCAAAGACTGTGAGAAATAAATCATCTCAGTTTTGAAGGCTGCAAAGCAACATAAAGAAATATTCTTGTGATAAAGTGTATAGTGGAAAAAGAGAGATAAAAATGTACACGTGATATGAAAGAGGCCATGGCAGAAAAAGAGTATAAGAGAACCAGCTCCCATTCACTGAGTATTATCCATCTCAGGTGTTGCATGTAGATAACACTTCTTGTAGAGGCATCTGTTGAGTCCTTCACAACTATTCTATAAGGAACATGCCATTTTCTGCTCTTATAAAATGAGAAAGTAAACATTTAGATCTCCAAATTGCAAAGGTTCTGGAAAATGAGACAAACTCTAATTTATGACCCCAAATCCTTATATTGCTAGCAACTCTGTTGTACTGGATCCCATATGCAAACACTGAGGAAAATACTAAAGGGAGCCAGACGTGCTGGCACACATCTGTAATCCCAGCACTTAGGCGGCAGAGGCAGGAGGATCACTGTGTGTTCGAGATCCACCTGCACTATATAGTGAATTCAAGGCCAGCCTAAACTACAAAGTGAGACCCTATTTCCAAAAAAAATTAAAGGGAAGTTATATCAAAGTGAGTATTATGTTAAAATGATGATCATCTGAGCAATTATTTTTATTTCTTGCTTTTTGCTATATTGTTATGATGTTTATACAAATATACATTATTAAGCCTTACCATTTCAAAGGGATGCTATTTTCATTCACAAATTTAATTGTGAATTTACTCTAAAGTGATAAAATTCATATTTGTCAAATATGAAGTTGCTAATATTGACTTGGTTGGTTATTGATTTGAGATCTTTTTTGTAATATAAGCATTTATGACTAAGCACTCTAAGCACTACTTAAATTGCATCCCATAAATTGCAGCATGTTGTATTCTTCTTTTCATTAGACTCAAAGTATTTTATAATTTCCCTTGCGATATTTTTCACTAGTCAGTACTTACTCAGGACTGTGTTAAGTTCTATAAATTGAGAATTTCGAAAACTTCTGTTACTGATTTCTAACTTCATTCTTCATTCCACTGTGATCAGAGAACAGACTTTACATGATTCAGCTCCTTATAAATGTATTAAGACGTGTTTAATGGCCCAACATATGGTCTGTCCTGGACAGTGTTCCTTGTGTATTTGAGAAGAATGTGTACTCTGTTGTTGGGTAGAATGCTCCATATGTTTCTGTTAGGTCTTTTGAGTAGAATGTTGTCTATGTGTCTTTTGGTTTACAGTGTTCAAAAGTTCCATTTCTTTGTTGATTTTCTGCCTAGTTGTTCTTACCATTATTGATGGGATATTAAAATCCTCAATTATTATGGTTAGATTGTTTATTTCTCCCTTCAGTTATGTCAGTTTTTTGCTTCATGTACTTTGGGGGTCTTTTGTTCAGTGCTAAATGCACTTCTGATCAAGTACATGGGTACATCAATTTGCCCTCCTGCCAACACTCTTGAAATTAGCGAGAATGACAGTGATGCATAATCCTTAACATTTAAGAGTAATGAGTACCTTCTGTTCTCCTCTATCAGAGATGACATCTCTCTGGATGACTGGTTGGAAAATATGTCTTATCTGGACATAAATGTTATTTGAAAAATAAAGTCATGGAATTTTTGAAAATTAAATTTTTGTCTGGTGTTTCCCATGTTTCTTCTCCCTCAGGAATATGAACCAAACTCGATATTTTTCTTAAATTTTTCAGTTTCACAGGGAAACATAAAATCAATGAGGTAAAGTCAAATGTCTAAGCCTTACTGGTTATGGTTCCAAACAGCTCTTGCAAGAGAAGATAGTCTTGCCTTTAAATAGTAATTTCTCTAAGAATGCAAGGATTTTAAACATACAAACTTCTAGGAGACACTAAAATTGCTATGGTCAAAGTGCCAGTAACGTCTTATAGATATGCCTTGTGGGCCTAATATGTACCAGGTGCATTGTAGCTTTGAGGTTCCATGGCATCAAGAAGATACAAGACCTATGTGTTAAAATATGGTGAGCATTGTGACAGCATAAATGGAAGATGCTAGAAAGGTAGGGCCAAGTGTTGGAAGAAAGGATCCATTATAGACAGACATAATGCATACGCCACCCCTATAATACTGTATGTTATAGCCTTAACGCCTAATGTGATGGTATGAAGAGATGGAGCCTTTAGAAAATAATTATGTTTTGTTGAGATCACAAGGTCAGAGCTCTCATGGAGGAAAAAGGAAGAGAAAGTGGAAAATATGTCAGACCATCCTACCTCTTCATGTGAGAACACAGAAGACAGCTGTATGCAAGCCAGGAAAAGGACCTTTACCAGAACCTGATTGTGCTGGCACCCTCATTTTGAACTTTCAGCCTCCAGAACTTTGGGAAACAAAGTCTGTTGTCTAGCCACCTAGTCTATATTGTTTTGTTATAGCAGCCCAAGCACATTAAGACAAAGTCACCCATTCTCAAGTAGGGCATGGTAATAATTATTTTCATAGCTACCAAATCCAGAACTGAGGCTGGCTAGGCAATATGGACTATAAAATTCAGACTAAAGTGAGATTACGGAGCCATGTCTGGGTATGAGGGAGCCCCAATTTACTCTCATTTATTGCTCTACAGCAATGTGTCACAAAGTATGGTCTAAGGCCCACTGGTTGACCTCAAAGGACTTGCTAATGACAAAAATGCAAGTTCCTTCCTCTGTTCTTAATGAGAAATATGGATTCATTCCATAGGCTTTCACTTTTATGTATGACCAAAAGCTACAAAGAGAACTACTAAGAATCACAAAAATTTTGCTTCTTTGAAATAACCAAAGTATCTGTTAATGTTTGAATGGCTAAATAAAATGGACTATCATTCAGTCATAAAGAATGAAATCATGGCATTTGTGGCAACATGGATAGAGTTAGAGGACTTCATGTTAAGTGAAATAAACCAGGCACAGAAAGATTACTATTTCATTATCTCAGCTAATATGTGAAATCTAAAAAAGCTGTTTTCATAGAAGTAGAAAGTATAATAGTGATCACCACAGACTATGATGGAACAGGAGAAAGGGAGGTTGGATTGCTCGTGTCACATTGTGGTTTCATGGGAATAATAGGTTTGGTATTCTAGAGCACAGCACGGTGATTATAGCTCATGGCAATTTATTATATATTTTATAAATAACTAGGAAAAAATTTTACCCATTATGGTTTATTCTCTACAATACTTCATTAAAGAGTTCAATGATTTGCACTCAGAAGTTATATAGCCAAGAGGCAACCAAGTGTGATACAAAGAAGTAGTTCAAAATCTGCGCTGAAGGCCATACAGTCTTTTGCTTCAGGGAAATAAGAACAAAAAGAAACAAAAAGAACAAGCAGTTCCCTAGGCTCCAGAAATCTTGAAAGAAAAGATAGCAACAGAAGCACTAGGAATTTGAAACTTCACAATGCAATGAGATGACAGAAATTTAACGATTAAAATTGCTAATTACCCTAATTTGATCATTTCACATTTTTGTGTACATGTACCAAATTACCACAGTGTGCCCCATAAGTGTGTACAATTATTGCACATCAAACAATGACAAGCCACAAAAGCATTATGCATTTCTCTGGGACCCTAGAGTACTATGTATATATACTATTATAAGAGGTCTGCCTGCGATGCAATGCATGCTTATGCTCCAACATCCAACACTGAGGCCAGAACGCCTGAAACTTCAGAATGGTCACTTCTTTCTGGAGCCACAGCAGTCCTAGGGCTTCCACTTGCTGCTATATTGGTGTCCATTGGTGTAATTGTCCAATTATTCTTAGGCTTTACCTTTATTTCTTTTTCTTGTAATTGCTGTACTGTTACCCATTTAAATTTTATTTTATTTCTTTGCAATTCTTTGTTATCATTGAGCTCTTTTACCCCTGGAAAAAGAGAAGAGACAGGTTGCTTCACCCCAAAAGTTTATGAAGTACTGCCCTAGTGGAACTGTTTGGTTTCACCAGCCTGACCTATTGATCATGTCTCAAAGGTTCCGTACATCCAGAGGCCAATCTCTGAATATCTATTTCAACTATTTTCTTCCTACTGCCTTGAAATTTTCCCTGATTCCAATCATCAAGCGTTCCTCTTCCTGTAAATAATAACACTGACTGCATCTCTACTGCCTATTTAGTAAGTCAGAAACACAGAACTGCTATCTAGTCTTACATTATGTACCTTTGGAATTTTTTGTCTATCAAGACTTAGGTATCCTTAGAGAAGAAACCATGTTTAGTATCTGTATATCTTAGTACAGGAAGAAGAATATGCCCAAAGTATGGGGATTTGTTACAAGGGATTTTTTTTTACTAAGCACAGGTGGTGTGGTCTAAGGGTTGAAGGGCAGCAAAACTGGACACGGAATCTGTTTGGACACCAGCCCTGAACAGTTCCACATGTTCCCCAGACCTGTGTCTATGTTGTGGTATCTGCTGCAGCTATAAGCAAACAAGCTGATAGTGGTTGCTGGTTTTGGGCCTGTGGGAATCCTAATAATGCCACAAACAAGCAGGCAGGAGGCTGGTAGAGGGCACCCAGTTTTCAGACTTTGCTGATGAGCCTACTTCTACATCTGTTCTTGGATTTTCTTAAGTCACCATCTGGCCACGTTAAATAGCAGCCAGCTCAATCTCAAGAGTTATTTGGCCGAACACCTTCCATTCCCTACCCATGCCATTTCCAGCTGGGGTTGGATCTTCATTTGGGAAATTCTCATGTGTCTTGGTTTTGACATGGTACGTGCTCATTTTGTTGTCTGGCCTGGCTTCTGATTGGGCCAGGCCCTACCTTCTTTTCCATACGTCATGATTGCTGATCCCTAACAGACTAGTGATTCGTTGTTCTGCTTCTTGTGCTGTAAAGTTTTTAATCAAATTCAATGAACACTTCCAGCCAGGAGATAGGTTGTGGAATGCATCTAAAATCCCATGTAAAAAATGGCACCCACCTTGCCTGGAAGGAGATGCTGCTCTGTCTTATACAGCTAAAATGCTATAATAGTTGTAATGTGGACTTTGAGCCTTGAGTCCCATGACTGTCAGTGTTTGACAACTATGGACATAATGTACTTAGTCAAGCAATCTTCAAACTAGTGATCTGTTTGATCAGATAATTAGACAACACAGGGTGGGGGTGAGTGACAACAAAATGGTGGCCCAAGAACAAGGAATCAATGCAACCTGTAAGTGACTAAGTGGAGACTGGTCCAGTGTATTTGTTGCTAATCAGTTCACTAAATCAATTGATGTGAAAAACTGTTTTCCTTCTGTGGCCATAAATCATGACTAGGAAAAGTCTCAAAATTTCAAATTCACAAGAGAACACATGCTTCTAAAGCAACTCTGCTCACTACCTCTCCTGCACAAGATAAAGTTCATTCTTTGGCTTAAAACAATGACTGTACTCATTTGGAATTCAGATCAATTATTCGGACAACTTACATTTTCACATTCCTGTAAGAATAAAGATAAATAGGCCTCTGTGAATGGCTTCACATTAGAATTTGTTCAAAAGAGAAGCATCATTAATGTCTTCTCTGAGAAAATGAAGTAACAAAAATGCATTCTGGGTACTCTGGTACTTTTTCAATATTTTATGGAGTTGTTTTTGTTTCTTGTTTCCTGTAATCAAACATTTGAGACTACTGAATCAAGGCTGCTGCCAGGGAACCCGGTAAGGTCCTCTCTGAGCTCATTTTAAACCAGCATTCCTTTGAGCCTTGAAAATCAGATTCTTCTGAAACTGGAACTGGGGTTAAATTTAGGTCAACATGGATTTCATAAAAGTAAAATTCTTTAAAGTTTACATTAAAAATTCATGTTTCTAACTGGATGGCCTTGGTTGGGTGGTGATAATAAATATTACAAAAAGTTAATCATCCTCCTCTGGGATTTTTCGCAGAGAAGTTCTGCAGCTTCATCCCAAATGTATTGGAGTATATCCTTTCAGTTTGGCAACAGAAGCGGGATGGAACATCAGTCATTAGTTTGCTGCATTCTCTCATAAATAACAAGGGCATATAGCCACATGTCTGGTCTTAGCCCCTATCCAGGTTCCAGAGACTTACTTTATGGGCATGTAATACACTGTGTGTCTTTTTCTTACTCCTTTGTTCTTTTTTATGGAACTGTGCTAAAACACTAGATACTATACTATAACTCAAAATATCTCCTTTTGCTAGACTCTAAAGCAATCTTTTCTGAAGGACTAACTTGCAAATATCCTAGTAAGTCCATATAGCATGACACAACATGGCAATAAAGCATTGTGTTGTCACACAGAACATTCTGTTCTTCATTCTGCTAACAGGAGAAGACAAACAGGGTCCCATCTGCCTAAATATTTCCCTTTGCCATCTACATGCTCATTTCACCCCAACATGAACAGCGAGTGTGTGATTTATCTGTAAGGTGCAGTAGGAGAAGTATAACAAGTAGGTGATAGCCCTCACTTTGAAAGCTGACAAGGGGTACCTTTTTAGGATGCAGGATAGATGGAAAAACTAGTCTCTCAAAAATCATCTCAAGAATGAAGGCAATAGTTAGGTATCCTGAAGCTTACAAGAAGAAGCTAATGTATTGCTCTCATATAGTATCTAGCATGTGTTATAAGTGATTTATGTTTCCAGTGTTCAGCACAGATAATGAGTATTGTTTGAATAAATGGGCGACTGGATGATAGAATGAATGGATGAACAATCAACCAGATAAAAATCTGTTTTGTGCTCCCAGTATAGAATCCTCTCCTCCAGACATCTGCTTTGGAAATATGGTAGAGAGTGTGTGGGATGGGGTTTCCTAATCTTGGATACAGGGTGAATTTGTTTCCAAGGTCTTACAAGAGAAAAATCCATGATTTGGGTCAGATCCATACTTATCCTGTTGGCACAATGTCTACCCAGGTTAAGAGAAACCCATTCTGGAGCTAGAGAATGGGCTGAGCCCTCACCAGGAGTCCCTAATTGAACAGGTCAATGAAAATGACAATAGAATCCCAAACCCTGTGTGGAGCACCTCCTTGGGAACAGCACCGGAAGTTGTGAACCTGCCCTTACCATCCACACCCAGTATTATAAGGAGGTCGTCTCAGCATGCCATGCACATACCTAGGTTACTTCTTTTTTCAAGGCCTTAATTTCCTGGGTCTCTGCCCCTGCACCCTAAATCTGTTCAGCTGCTTGTTCCTCTGATCCTCCAGCTAAAAAAACCTTTCACTGTACTTTGTGGTATTTAAGCAGGGAAACTAAACCATGCAATGAGGGAAGGCTCCCTGAACCCAACAGTCAAAAGCGCCTCAAAGCTTCTCCCCCCCCCCCCCGAGCATCTTTCCTGTCCCAATCTTATCCTCTTCTAATGAAGAAGGCTGATCACAATGAGGATGTCAGGAAAGTATCCTCAATGGATTTCCAAGTCATTATGAAATAAGCCTAAAACCTGAGTTTACTAGAACATTGTACCAGAAATACTGGTCTAAAGCAAAGGCCCTTCATACCTAACAAATGCTTCTGGAATTCCAAACTCTTTCTGTGCAAGACTTCCTCAAACAATTTCTTGTGGTCTTCTTGAAATACAGAAACTAGTTTTTCGCTTACCTACTTTATCCAACTACTGTTCAGCTTTGGGGACATATTTCAGTTCACTTTTAATATTCTGAATCTCTGAAAGGTTGACTGCAGGTCCTGGAAGTTTCTTTGCTCCTGGAATTGGCTTCTTTTCCTCATCTGAGGTAGGAGGAGCTCCCTGAAGCAAAAGAAGAAGAAATTAAACTCACCAAAAAGGACATTTGATCTCTAAGCTCATAAATATGAACCAGAGAAAAATTAAAAATTAAAATAAGAATAATGCTAGAGTGTAGTTCTAGCAGAATGACTTTCTCTTGTGTTACCGAGACAGCCTCAGAATTACAATAAGATCTAAAGTTTGGTAAAATAAAGTTGGAAGCAGAAAACAAGTAATGTCCATGTGACTTAGAAAACACTAGAATACTACTCAACATCTGGTAACTAATAAAAATTACCTCCGGTTAAAAGACGATTTTCTAAATTTAATTTGGCATCATATGATCATACTATTCCTGACAGCAAAAATCTGTAGAACTTTAGTGCATGGCTAACTCAAAAACAATGGCTTAGTCCGAGAGATTTTCAGTGTATTGTTGGGATGCAGTGACTGTCCACCTTTGGTCCCATGATATGTTTATTAAGGCAGAAAAAACTGCAAAGTATAAGGAAAATGTTTTTAAATATGAGCTGGATGGTAGGAGCAACAGGAGCCACAGCCTTCCCTTCCTTCTTTGGGAAGTATTTTAAATTTTTTATCACTGCTGTTACATATTTTGCAGTTTTAAGGCAAGATGTACTCTCCATCCTTTTTTGTGGCTCCTTCAATGCCTGACTACAGATTATTGCTTAACGGATTAATTCTGAGAATGTATAGTCACAAATCCACAGCTCCATGTACATGCACTAAACACGTAAAGAACTGAGACTAAACAATAATGAGCTGCTGTGTGTTGGCTCCAACTCGTTACTCCAGAAGCAAGCTATTAGTCCTCTCCTCCTATTCACTGTGGCCCTGGAAGGAAGGTGTCAGAGGAACATTTGATCACCGTGGCAGCCGCCAGAACACGCCTCAGATCAGATTACTGTAGGGAGAGTAATTGAATGAAGGCCCCAGCTGCTTTGCCTTGAAATCCACCCATCACTACACTGAGGTCACATTTCCCATAGCTGCTTGTAACCAATGACTGAATGCAAGAGGAATCGCAAAGCAGGTTCTGATCCAGTGAGAACTGTGACTCTTCTGAGGAGCATCTTAGCTGGAGAACTGATCTGAGAGCAGCAAGAAGTCTGAGCTGCTTCCGCTGACACCTCTGAACCTCTTGCACCCCTTGCATCACAATCTGACGGTGCTCCCAGCCTACTCTACTCCCTCCATTTTTCCTTACAAGTGTTTCCCCAAATAAATGTTATGCACATCTAAACTCAACTTTGGATCTGCTTATTGGAGAACCCCAGCTAACACAGGCCCCAAGGCTCCTTTGTCTAAATCCCAAATTGGTTAGAACCTAAAGAAAAAACATGTTCAAGCTTTCCCAAGCCCCTGCAAATCACATGGTAGACACGTTCTTTATAGAAATGCTTTTAAATTGTGTATTGGAGGGGATGAGTAGACACACGATATATCGAGGCACTGTTCTTCTACTAAGGGCTAATGGTGTTTCCTATACTAAATCTGGTAGAGTGGTGATGAAACAGCTAATGTGTCACCCATATGAAATGATAAAGTAATTCAATGTAGACTATACTTGCTGTGAATGTCTGGAAGATGTTGTTTCCCTGGGTCAATATCCAGAACCACAGGATTGGCTGCTTTTTGCCATATACATGCCTATGAGCACACTCATCATTTATAAAAGTGGATATGGAAGCAGTAATTCAAACTGTTAATTAAACATTCACTTGGAGGGCCAGGTATTCCAAAATGTTCCTTGCTGGGCTTTGAGAAGGAATTTTTAGCTAGAATACAAAGTGTTGCCTCTTTTATTATGTGTAGCAGTAAAATGAAAAAAAAAAGTTTCCTTGCTTATAAATGTTCCCATGATTGTTAGGTCTGTAGATCTTAATAAAAAAGTATGAAGGAGAAAAATGTTTCTAATTCCTTCTGTTAGGTTCCTGGGTAAGTTGTGCTCACTATCTTTGTGACATCAAAATGTGCTATATTGGTACATTTAGCACATAAACCCAAGGTCTGTATGTACTTATGTGCCTACGAGCAATGAGTTTTATGAACATATGCAGATTAACAATGATGATACTTAATACTATTATCTTCCCTTCAAGTTACTAAAATCTGAGTGTACTGTGCTCTTTATGTATCAAGGTATGACGTTTTGCACTTGATTTGGTAAGGTGGCAATAATGGAAAAGTGTAAGGGGATATATTTCATAATTCACTGTTAGGATAATTGACTCAGAAAGAGTTATGGTGGTGCATTTTTAAACTGAATCTTCTGTCGTCCTTTAAAAATATAATGGAAATTAGATTCTATTTCTTCTATAAACTTGTTATAATGAACATTACAGTAAATTAAGGCGTGAACAAACAGGTTCCAGATGGCCCTATTTGACTAATTATATTCTTTTTTGTTTTGTAAATAGACAGTTGAATTGGGAAGGAACATGAAGGGCATTCTTTGGATGGAGAAAGTGTGAGCAAAATCAAGTATCATAGCAGCGTTCTCAGTTTCAGGAATAGATGCCGAGAAGAGAAATGCTTGCTTGGGCGGCAGGGTCACAGAGTATTTGCAAAATTTTGCAGAATGGTGAAGCATTTTCCAGCTGTCTTGCTTTCATCTTGTTCTTTACTACCAGATGCCCTGCTGAGTTTTGCTCCAAACTCTCCAGTGTGGGCCAATACCGTCTGATGTGCTCATCATGCTCAAACACTGGAGACTTAACGGTAACAGCAAGCATTCTGGTAGCTGTTCTAAAGCTACATGTGCTAACTAACTGACTTAATCTTCACAGTAACTCTGTTAATCTTGTCCATTTTTTAAGGTATAAGAGACTCAGGGACAGGGGAGCCAAGACACATGTCCGAGGTTACCCTGCTGAGAATTGGCTGAACCAGAAATAAATCATAACTTTGCATCTTTAAAGAGAACAGATGAAAGGGGGAATATTTACCAGAAAATCTCAGTGCACTGTTTCATGGCTTAATGATCGTATTTCAGTCACAAGAAAGATTTGGGAGGCTTAGTGGGGGCTTTTCAATAACCCTCCAAATCACTTCGAGCAAGCAACTGCTTGTCTTAGGCAAAGACCAACCCTGCTTATGAGGATTTAGCTATTTGGCCCCTGTGCTAGGCACTTTCCCATGCCTAATGGGACAAGTCCACAGAGGGAGCACTGCAGTTATTATCAATGGGCTTCCTATTTGCCCTTCCCTCATCCGAGAGAACAGGTCTACCTTCCTTCTATCCTTCCTTAGTGAGGATTTTGGAGCAGACAGACCTCACTGTGCTCTGCTAGCTAAGTTCTCCTCACCTCCTCTGTTTCAGGAGTACATTCTTTTCTTCTGGGGGGTTGCCCAGCTCCTGGCCGAAAGGCTCCCATTGGAATATTGATATTTGCCTAAGAGACAAAACAGGATAAATTTAGCTCAAGAAAAGTAAGAAATTGCAATGACACTCTGAGACAACAATCATTGTGAGGAAAAATGTCTGGAAAGTACATCTTCAAAGCTTTTATCTCAGGAAAATTGCTTGTAATGACAGTACAAAAATTATGCAAAGGGAAATGTGACTTCCATTTATTATAGATTTTGAGTATTCATCCTTACGTCTGTGCAGCGATTTTACAATTTCTTATTGGGTAGAAGAATTTAAAGACAGCTTTCTTTGGCGGATGACCTCCAGTGGTGCACATTATTTTCCTCTCTGGGATGGGAACAGAACACATAATGATAAGAAAGGAGAAAAGAGCATCTTCAGAAGTCATCCCGCACCTTAGCACTCCTTGCAGTTCCTTGCGATTTACCATGGTGTGGGAAGAGGAAGGTTCACACCCCCTAAGCTGCCGCCTTTCTGTTTATCCCAGCACTCTGCCAGCATTACCTCGAGTCTTTGCAAGCGACACTCTTCTACCTTCGCCCCAACTTCAGTTCCCTTTGTATTACAACTCATCGATTCTGGTTCTTTAGTCAGATAACATACTAATCTCCACCAATAGTAAACATAAAATACCTTCTAGTATACATGAAATATTCTTAATTATTTCAGGATATAACTTGAACTTGGGAAGAGAAGGTGTACATTTGAATTTTGCCTGTTTTGTCTGATATGAAAAGGTGAAAATACTCAATGAAGACCAAAAACATCTTCAACCAGCATTTTCACTCACATAAAACATGCATCAATCACTTAATTTTTTTTTTCATTGACAAGAAAGTGTTTCCTCGTGAGTAATTGGATGTGTGGGTTCAAAAAGTTATAATTTCATTTTGATTTATAAAGGTAAATGATGCCTCAGCAAAAGGAGCAAAAAATTTGTTATCCTAGGTGGCAGATTGGATGACTTTGATATTACACCAAATGAAGTTATTAAGAAGTATGAAAAGGTCCATTTGGAAACACCTGGTATAAGCTCTGTTGCCAGGGGAATGATTAAATCATGCACATGAAGTATCCAGTGTCAGCGTTCATGCAGCATGACATCTCTGTGTTCTGCCCCCATGGAGAACAGCAAGCAACTTTTCCCAACCGAGGGTTTTAACACTTTCCTCCCTACTAGAATAATGTGGGTCCTACAGGAAGGAAATGGATCCAAAATGTTTGTGGTCAATAACAAGAACGTAGTAGCACCAGCAAGCCATGATGCATTTTTGATCACTATGTACCATTAAGACATAAGATAGGAGGAAAGAGAGGTCTTTTATGGTGACAAGTACGGTCTTTACTTCATGAATTGCAACGCATACTTCTTTTACTAATCGCAGTATGTTTCACAATGAATGGTATCCTGTACTTTTTTTCAGGCTGAGTCATACTGTGCTGCCCAGGCTGGCCATAAGCTTGTGGGCTCAAGAGATGCTCCTGCATCAGCCTCTCAAAATCTCGGGCTACAGGCAAGCATCACTGCATCCAGCTGTACCTTATGATTTTAATTGGCATGTTTACTTTATCTCTTAGCAGGATATCAAATGAAATAATTAGCTGTGGATGTAGCTTAGTGGTAAAGGATCCATTTAGTATAGATGAAGCCTTGAGTTTGATCCCTAGCAGAAACAAAACACAAAAACAGCAAATGAACCAAAACACAATAAAAAGTATTTTTACAATTAGCACTTTTTAGACTGGATAAAATGTAAAGGCCTGAAATAATGGTCAAAACAAGGTAAATAAGACTCAGAGAATACGGTCCATGTTAAACTACTGGGTGTTTTTCATTATCACAGTTTGAATAAAAGAGGGTGAAATTAAATATAAGCACTGTTTGGGAGAAAGTTAATCAATTCAAAGTTTAGTTAGATCTCTTGCATTCAACCCATTTATGAGGCATCTACAGGGGGTATCTTCAGAATGGTGAATTCAGGTTAAACTAACCCAGTTAATCAAGCACATATGCTCTATTGTAGGTTGCAGTTTTAGTCAGGGAACATGTTCAAGCCATCATAATAATAGGGCAAAACACATGCTATAAAACAACTACCTTTTCCTGTTTGGAGATTAATTTTTCAAATTCACGTAATTTCTCTATGGGTCATAGGTAGTTCATGGCTGTGAAAAGAGCCTAGTGCTCTGGATTCTCTGTTCTTGAAAAAGTGACAACTCTTCTATAGCACATTATCCCCATTTGTAATGTGAATATTAGGCTACATAAGTGGTTTTCAAACATTACATCTATAAAATCTTCCCTTCAGCCGGGCATGGTGGCACATGCCTGTAATCCCAGCACTCAGAAGCCAGCAGGAGGATCACTGCATATTGAGGCCAGCCTGGGCTATGCAGTGAGTTCAAGGTAAGTTTGCACTACATAGGAGGCTCTGTCTCAAAAATAAAATAAAACCTTTCCTTCAAGTAAATTATTGAAAGGACATCTAAAATGTGTACCAGGTGGAGATGCAGTGTTCAAATATTGTCATCTTCACGAGCTTCCTGAGGTTAGTATTATCCTCTTTGTTTTACTGATGAAGAAACTGAGTTTCAAAGAGGTTCGAGAATTTTCTCAAGGCCACGCAAATAATACAGGATTCTAAATTGAAACTGTCAAACTTTAGAGTCAGACCTTTTTCACTCTGCCAAACTGGTCTCTGAAGAGTCTATATCACTTGGCCAAAGTTAACTCTAATCAGCTCTAAAATTGCAGACTTATATTTTGAGATTGGCTTTTGGCAAGGGAAACACAAAATGGATACTTCTAGAATAGATGCCAAAGAAAAGCCACATGGAAAAGTGGTCTCTTAACTCACTGACTTGACACTTTTTCTTCTTTAACACATCACTCAAGCAATCAGGAACCTAAATGGGGCTTTCTGACAGCAATATTGACAGGAACAAAAGAAGCCTTAAAAACAGGCCCAATGTCCAATCATTAATGTGCCCCAATAAGAGAGAGGAAGAAGAGTGCTTTGTCAACTGTAGCATGCATTCACTCATAACAAGGTGATCATCAATGTTTTATTAATTTAAGGGAAGGGCAGTGATATTTCAGTCACACGTTATAGTCTAAATTATAGCCATGACAAATATCTTGAATTTGATAGGAAAATGTAGACCTATTGATCTTCACTTTTATTCAGTCGACCAGAAAATTGGTTCATATTTTTGCCTTTTTCACTGATTTGTCCTGTTCAAATAACATACAGATCTAGTCACTCAAATTTTTAACCTGAAAATTGGATATGGCATTTGCTATTCAAACTCAGTTCAGAACATAAGCTCTGCTTTACAAAAACCCTAACAAACACAGAATAAACTTAACGTCAGTGACTTGGAGTCAATGTAAGATTGGGCTTCCTTCTATATATAGATTCTGTGCATGGGCTGGGGAGATAGCTCAGCAGCGTGAGCCCTGGCCTAGCATGCATGAGGCACAAGATTCATTCCCCAATTCCACCAAATAAATATAGATTCTGCATACATGAAAAGGAAACTAACCCTTGCTTTTTAAATTTCTTTTGTAATGCAACTTTTTGCATTTCTCTTCCCTCCTTGAAGTTTATTCATTTTAGATATTATAAAAATATCTCCAGTGCAGCAAAGCCAATGCACCACTTTCCCAAACTATACATAATTTGTTACATCCTCCAAGTTGGAAATGGAAAAAATCTACTAGATCGTCTTTTGCCAGAACAGGATACTGTTCCGTGATAGAAGACCTATCTGATGTGAAATTAATACTACACTTGATCTCACCCGGTGAAGAAAAGTAGAAAGAATTCCCTGTAAATTAATTCCACCACTCCGTTAATTATTTGTATTGTTCTCCTTGCTTGGCTCCAGGCTTTAAGCCAGGAAGATTTTGGAAACAATATTCTCTCCACAACCACTCCTATGTGTCTTACAATGAAAGGACGCCTTCTTTCCCCTTGGGTTGGATTTTGATAGCTACCAACACCTGGGTACTGACAATTCCTATTAAACTTTGCCTTCCACAGCCATTGTTCTCTATCTCCCCGTCCATTTGTGTCTCCACTCTGCCTCTCCTTTTCTGAGCCCATTGTGAGGTTTCTGAACATTGTGTACTTGTTTCTGATGCCCCCCACACTGATTTTAGCTTTAGTTTTCAAAGGTCCCCAGCAGCTTTGCCGAATCTATAGCCTCCCCACACCATTCACCCATTGCACAGGCAGAGGAAATTCTATGGGGCTGCAATGTTCAGTATTCTTTTCTACTCTTTCCTATTCTTACAGCCTTAGTCTTCAGAATGAAGCCAGATATGACATTTCAAGATTTATAGCATCTTTACAGAAAACTTTCAGAAAGAGATGTATTTTCTGATTCTAAAATCAGAGTCAATTTTGACAAGTGAACCTGAAATGAGAGACAAACAGAAGACACATGCACACATCTACCAACTAAAATATACGAAACTTATTTTAAAATAAAATTCCACATCACTAGAATACATAACTGCTTAGGGATTCTTGAAATGTGGAGTAGATTCAAAACACACAAAACTTCACCACTCGACATGATTTTGAGAAACTCCCACTCAGCCACTGTTCTGCACCCAGGATGTTTTTACACTAAAAGGTTTTCTTTTTGTCTGTTCTCAACACTTTTTGTTCTCTTCAGTAATTTCCTGAATGATTCAACTGTGGTCTCATCATCAAGGGAAAAGCAAATTTCAAGAATGCACCGTACAGCTATTAAGATAATGTGTACAATTGGTTGGGGGCAGGTTGTGCTTCTATGTACTTATAAATGTCAGAGTCCAAAAATGTCATCTTTTCTCCAGTAGATAGCTGCTTGCTTCGTGTCACAAGTACAGAGCCCTAGGCTGGGCTTGGTGGTACATGCCTACAATCCCACCTCTCGGGATTCAGGTGAGGCAGAAGGATCACCATAAATTTGAGGCCAGCCTGAGCTACTTAGGGAGTTCAAGGCTGTCCTGAACGATATAGCAAGACC